TCAGTGTTCCCTTACAATGCTAGGTCCTTCCAGTCCATCTGCCCCAACACTATGTTAAACATACTAAATAGAAACTGAGGAGTGTGTGGTGGTGGAGGGGAAGTAAATATGAACATTATTGCAAATGTTCCAGTGGTACCCTGATTTGGGAGTTTATGACTTTGCAAATCATCTTAGCTCTTTAAGGGTCTATCTTTAGTTCCTAAGTATACAGGTTACTGCCTTTGCCAGGCCAGCATGACTCCCTTCCAGCAACGTAATCTGCCACATCCATCAGGGCTGTCCTTACCACCCAGCAAGGCATTGTGAGAACTCTGCCACCCACAGCCTATAGTTCCTACAGTTAGGATCCTATGGTCCACTACCGTGAGTGACGTGAAACAGCAAGACCTTAGAAGCTTCTCTTATTTATGTCATCATTCTCACAACATTTGGACAAAAAGGAAAATGACTAGGCCACCTTCTCTTCTTGGGCCTTATGAATGCTAAGCACAGAGACCTGAGCCTTCTTCAGTGAAACTTAGGGACACAGAAGTTCATGTTCTGACCCTGCTCTAGTCTCTGTCAATGGAACCAAGTCACTTCCCCTCCTACAGTTTCAGCTTTTCCATCTGTGAAATATGGCCCTGATACCACTAGCCCACTACAGAAGACAGCAAGCAACCAGACAGATGTTCTTGATTTTGAGTTTCAGATAGAGTCACTTGGGCTGCTTCTAATCACCAGTCCATTACGTTTAGTTCAAAGGTCAAAGGCGTTTCCACAATGCTCAAGATAATCCAGATACTGTCTCTCTCCTCAACTTGGTAACATTTTGAATATTTTACAAATAACTTCAGGTAACAAAGGAAGACAGACATGCAAAGAGAATACACAAGTACTGAGGTCACAAGGGGAGAGGGTTAAAAATACAAATGTGGGAAGCACTTTCTTGTTTTGGAACAAAGACACAGTAGCAAAGGATGGTGTCCAAGAATAAAACATGTAAGTGTACAGTAAAACCACTGAGAGGAAAAAAACAGAAAACTGCCAGAATATTTGTATTTTATATGCAGGTTACTGCTGTTGGCCACAAAAAGAAATCCTGTAAAAAGAGTCTTTCTCCTGGAGAACATTACAGGATAAAAAAGAAAAAGAAAAAAAAAAAGTCTTTGGAAGCAAAAGGTAAGAAGGTGTAAACTAATTAAAAACAGGCTAACGACTGGCAATATCACCTGTATGCTGAGATGGAGTGTAGCCATAAAAGCTTGACGCACACGTGCAATGTATTAAGTTGGGAATATGTGTCTCTTCAGCTTCATATCTATTAAAGGAACAAACAATTTACATGTTGCTGCATTACGGGAGTATGATATGTGGAGTGTCAACCTTTTCTCTTCAAATCGAACAATGTTAAGGCAAATCAATGATGGGGTTTGGGAGGATGGGGAGGGAAGGGGAAAAGCAGGGAGAAAGAAAGTTTGTAAAAAAATCTCTGCCTCAGCAAAAGTTTTCATTAAAATTTTAGACAAATGATCCCTGTGTCCTTCTCCCTTGCTGCCTGGGGCTCCATGCTATTTCTATGCAAATAACAACCTCGTGGTTTATATCTTATTATTTCCACCGGAGCTGCAGCGACATGACCTGAGACGTGTAAGAGGTGCGGGGGGCGGGGGGTTGAGGGGGAAGCAATCCGAGAGGAAAGAGAAAGAGAGAAACAGAGAAAGAGAGAGGGAGAAAGAGAAAGAGAGAGAGAGAGAGATGGAGTGGGTGTTCACTCAAGTGTGAAAAAATATTGTCAGGAGTGAGCGTCAAGAACAAAAAAAAATTGCAGGGATAACGTGTTTATTTCAGTCCCCCACCCCCACCCCCCCCTTGCAAACCAGCACCTTTTAAAATTCATTGGGCATCAGGCGATCATGCACAATCCATCTGCTTTCACTTTATCATTTGCATTTCATGCCTCCTGGCTTTTGATGTGCTGATACTTTGATGCAGTCAGGAGACGCACATTATCATTATTTCAATTTTCAAAGGGGTCAACGGGATCGGCACTTGCACACACAAGATTTTTTTTCCCTACAACCTCTGCTCACCCCCTCTTCTTATTCTTCACCCCAATGTTTAACATAAAGGATGGAGGCTCAAAAAGGCGGGGGTCAAATGTTTGCAGTCTAAGACTGTACATAAGCTTACTGCCTGTATTTCCACTTTTACACAGGTACATACTATGAGCCAAGGCTCATAAAATGGCCAAGGCTTTAGAAAGGAGGCTCTGCGGTGTTTCAAACAAAGACTTTCTCATATATGGACACTCAGGGAGGCACACAGAGAAAGAAAGGGATCTATAGCCAGATACAGACACAAAGAGACTCAGAGAGATCAGCACTCACACAGAAAGAGACATGCACTCAGAATGACTTGCACACACCCAGAGTACGGGAGACAGAGAGTGAGCTACAAAAAGAAAGGCAAACAGAGATGTAGAAAGACACCAGCGCACACAAAGACAACATGCACATGGAGAGAGTCAGAGGAAGCTGTCTGAGCATGGTAGCTCCCGGATACTTTCCTTTTTCATACTTGATAAGCAAAGGGGCTGATAGGACATTCTTAATGAATTTGCATGAAATTGGGTGTCTCTCAGCAACACGGCTTTACACTTAAGAGGTGCTGACATGAAGACAGTGAAGCAGGCAGAGCAGGATTAGGTAACTAATCACTTCCTTCAGCTAAAAGTGATCATGTCCTTCTGGAAGTGAGCATTGTTTGGTAAGTTAAAGCTACAGCTTTATTTGTCTTTCCCTCTGTAACGAGGCTTTTCCTCTAACAAGCAGCCCTATAGGCTAGGAAGAAGGTGAATATAATGAATTTGATCAGAACAATTCGACCAGATTTTAAGAAAAAAAATCCCTAATGTTTCCTTTATGGCACAAACAAAATTTAATGAGCAGGTTTTCAAGCAAAACAAACAAACAAACAACACACCCCACAATAACCCCAACAATAGTTGCTTTTTGTAATATTATTTGTGTGTAACAGTTTCTGGGGGGAAAAAGAAACTCAATGTAGCAACATACATTTCAGAAATTAGCTCTCTGCCCAGGTATGGTAACACCACGGAAATACAGGTATCTTATAAAAATTCTATCCTCACAGATAATGGTACCTAAAATTCTCTTCAACATTCATCAATAACTCATCCTAAGAAGGTATCCAAAGAGTAACTTAAAAAAAAAATTTAAGACTCAGCAGTTTCTCCTGCTGCAATAATAATCTTCAATAGTGGCGTTCACAATCGTTATTTCTAGGCTACTCTCCAAACTAGGAAGAGGACAGTCAAGTTTGCCTTGTTAGCACTACTCTGCCTTTCCTTGGAGAGAAAAGCAAACAAATCCAGAGAAGATTACAGAGTTCATATGAATGAAGAGAGCAAGCTAATCACATCAAATGATTCCCTAATTTCTGACATCTCCAAAAGTTAACTGGATCAATGGAAGTATCAACTTTTTCTAAACAGGAATGATAGGATACTTAGTTCTTATTCTTCTATTTGAAAATCACTTGATAAAAACTTCCTGCAAGTCTAGTAAACACAATATCCAATACAGCTTAGTATGTGTATTAATACCATAAGCTCAATCACCAAATCATGAGAGAGGAAAGGGGAACTGAAATTTTAATGAAGGCCAGCACTTTGTGCCAAGTGCTAGGTACTTTTACTTATGCTTTCTCATTCGATTTCTACATAATAATAATAATATTATTATTAATTTATTTTTTTGAGACAGTGTCTCACTCTGTCACCCTGGGTAGAATACAGTGGCATCATCATAGTTCACTGCAACCTCAAACTCCTGGGCTCAAGTGATCCTACCTCAGCCTCCCCAGTAGCTGGGATTACAGGTGTGCACCACCATGCCCGGCTAATTTTTCTATTTTCTTGTACAGACAGGGTCTTGCTCTTGCTCAGGCTGGTCTTGAAATCCTGGCCTCAAGCAATCCTCCTGCCATGGCCTCCCAAAGTGCTAGGATTACAGGCGAAAGCTACTGCTCCAGGTTTTTGGGTTTTTTTGTCCACAGAAGTTTGTCCTGTGGAATTTTTTCTTTTGATCTCCACATTATTTAAAGGTGTAAATTATTAACTCTTTCAACAGATAAGAAAACTGAGAGGTTAGTTATATAAATTGCACAAAGGCAATCAGCCCCAGACTATTCTATTACATATTTCTGGCTCTAGAGAGAAAATAATTTTCCTATACCTTCAAAGAAGTCAGAAATGTATTGTCCTTTATATGTTCAGGTATTCTTAGATAGTTTTCACTTATACAAATAATGATCTCACCATTCGTTTTTTTCCATTTAGAAAAGGCCCTGTGAGCTTGGATTAAAAAGGCATAAACCTTTCTTTGGAGGATAAATTTCTATACCATACTCTTTCCCAGTAATCCATCCACCCATCTTCCTGCTCGGTATTTACCAAGTATTTCCTCTATGTACAAGAGTCCACCGTAAGTGCCCTTTTTTAGACATATATTCACAGACTTTTCAAAACATTAAAACTTAATATCCTCACCACCTAGGCCAGTGCCTAATTCATGATGTATATATGACATGGGAAGAGTACTAATGGAATCAGAGATAGTAATCTCTTACTAATAGGAGAAAAAAACTAATTTTGTTGAGAAAAAGGGAAGGAGAGTAGGAGAGAATACAAGCATTCAATTAATTTTCAGTGTTTCTAGAAAGGTACTAGACTGTAAGCTCTTTGGAATAGGGGTTTTATACGGTTTGCTCACTAACATACACACAGAGCTTGGAATATTGCCTGGCAAATGCAGGTACTCACATTATTTGTTAAATGAAATTAATGAAAAGGCAAGACAATGGGCAGAAAAGATGGAGGGAGAGAGGAAGAAGGCATGCATTCAATGGCTTTCCTCCAATTAGGATCTTTAATTAAGAATCCACAATAATCTTCAACCAGCTTCATATACTTCTCCCAAACCCTAGAAACTTACTTTGTTGAGAGCTCCAGCTCCTGTCAGAATTAGGTGAGAATTCTCAACCTGGATGGTTCTCTGTCCCAGCCGGACAAGGTAAGCCCCAATCCCAATGGCCCGGCATGTCACCTTAAAAAAGAATAAATTTTACATGTCACATGTTTATGTCCTCTCCCAAGCTGTAAGAACTAAGGCATAGACATGTAAAATCCACATTAACAGAAATAAACATTGCTTTCTATGAAGTCTGATTAATAACAATACAAAAAACCAATTTCCTGGTCAAAGAAATGAAAAGATAAAATTCATTCAATGATTCTAGTATTAGACACTTAAAGTCTGATAGAATATTTAGAGAAATAAGTTAAACTAAAGGCTAAAATGAGGTGCTAGATTTACTTGGGAAATGTGGTTATTCACATTATCCTATCTTCCCACTATCATGCATAATTAAAATAAAATTGTAGAGATACAATTTTCTAGAAATGCTCTCATTGGGACTAAATAACTGTGATAGGGGCAAAATTAAACCTAGCCACACAGCCAGCTCTTCAAAAACTTTCACAATCTGGGAAGACTTACCAGGCTGATGGTGATGATCTCATCATAGGCCAATGATGATTCTCCAGCAATCATTCCAGAACCTCGAAGGTTCTCTGCTCCAATGCCCTCTTCTTTCCCAATAATATCTGTTATCTTGTACCTATTAGATATAACAATGCCAAATTAGAAAGGTTAAACACAGTAACAACAATCCATTAAAAGAATAATCACCTTCTTTGAGCTGGAGCTGCAAAAAAAGAGAATTAGAAAAAAAAGAAATGGTAAAAAAAATAAACAAAAGAATTATCAACATTAAAAGGCTGCTAAAAGCATACTGAGAGCTCATATTTAACACCAGGGCTTTATGCTCTTCTGTTTATACTCTTCATTCATGTCTTTCCTTCTTAGCTCGGTGCCTGTTTCACCTGGAAGCAATATGATATAATAGAAAGAGCAAAATCTGGAATTAAGCAGATAGATTTAAATCCTTGCTCTGATACATCAGCAGTGTGACTATGGGGATAACAGTAACTTTTATAAAATGGGGATAATGATACCTAGCTCTAAGGATTGACATGAGAGTTAAATTAAAGCAACACATAGATGGCCCTCAGATTTTAGATGCCTTCTCTTATGTTCTAGAACAATTTTCTTAAAAGCAGGGTCAATGTATATCTCTGTAGTAAGTAACAGGCATCAAATCAACAATTTTAGACAATTTTATATAGGAATAAAAAATCCAAACAGAGAGGTAGTGGGAATGCTCAGCACTGTTTCTCAAGTCAAAAATCCTACAGTGAACTCCCATTCCGGCTCCATCATAAATATCGAGTGTATATATGAGGGTCTCTGGATATAGTCCTCTGGAGGGGCAGGTGGAATGTATGTAGAAGTGAAATGCTAACCAAGCTGTCCAGAAAGCATCCTGTGGATCTAGTGGGAGTCACTCATCTGTCTTCCTGGCAAGGGATTAGGAGTGATAGCTGATAATGGGAAATGGGAGATGGGGAATGCAACTAATAAAGGAAAGGAAAAATACAAAGTTGGAAGTAGAGATGGGCATATGTTATTTATTGTTCCACGTGTACCCAGAAGGCTTGGCACTGGGCACAGTTTTATAAATTGAAATAATAAATAAGTATCCCATAGAGGCTCTTAAACTACTTCCCCCCACCCTCGTATTTCTCTGTTCCCTTCTTTATTTCCAGCCCTCCATCAATTCCTTCTCTTTGCCCTTGCTGTTGGTCTGTGACTTTGCATCTCTGCTTCCCAGATTCTGCTGCCTTTCTATTTTTGGCCTCTCCCAACAATTCCCCCAATTTTTCCTTTTGTTCTGTACCCAGACTCTAGATTCTAGAGTTATGTTAGAAATGAAGCTGATCTCCCTTAAGGGGTTAATGAACCACATTAATTAGGGGGTAATGTGGTCTTTTTTTTTTTTTTTTTTCTGAGACAGAGTCTCACTGTGTTGCCCGGGCTAGAGTGCCGTGGCGTCATCCTAGCTCACAGCAACCTCAAACTCCTGGGCTCAAACAATCCTTCTGCCTCAGCCTCCCAAGTAGCTGGGACTACAGGCATGCGCCACCACGCCCGGCTAATTTTTTCTATATATTTTTAGTTGTCCGATTAATTTCTTTCTATTTTTAGTAGAGACAGGGTCTCGCTCTTGTTCAGGCTGGTTTTGAACTCCTGAGCTCAAACAATCTGCCCGCCTCGGCCTCCCAGAGTGCTAGGATTACAGGCGTGAGCCACCGTGCTCGGCCTAATGTGGTCTTTATAAGGTCCACATGCCATATGGTCACAAATACTCAAGGGCCCCCTCAGAGCTGCTTTGTAACAAAAGCAATATATAAAATCAATAGCTTTCATAGATACCCGTAATAAAGAGTTAAAAACCATAATGGGAAAAAGAATCCCACTTAGAATAGCAAGAAAAAATGTAAAATATTTAGAAATAAACACAAAGAAGTTGGCAGAGTCCCACCATACCCACATTGTGTCCCAAGGCGTCCCAAGGCACCAGCCACAGTGAACTCCCAGGGGCACTACAGGATATTTTAAATTTCTCAGAGAAGCACTATGATACGTGTTATCTGTTGGACCCCACGTGAACTACAAGCTTTAGGTAGTTTAACATTAGAATAGTGCTACATTCCTTTTGACGAAGTTCTATCTTTGCAAAGCCAAGTTTTTGCAGTTTCTGTGAAAAAAAGCAAGTTCTGTACAAAAATCAATGAAGAACAAGAAACAAAGGTGGCTCTATTCAAACTGATTCCAGGGTTTGAGATACTGTACAGACACAAATTAGTTAACTATAATTACTGAAGAATAAAATTGTTTTCAATTTATGTGTATTATTTTTTCAAATGATTATTAAGTTGTTAGGTCATAAATTCTTATGAAGTTGTTTAACTACTTAACAAACAGAAACATTAGGTATATCTTTTAGCCAAGGAGTGTGGTGAAAATTTACTGAGACACTAAGGGTGCCACAAGCCAAGAAAGTTTGGGAACCTCTAGCATAACCTATATGAAGAAAACAAAAAAACTTTAAAAAAAAAAAAAATACACTTGAATAAATGGAAAAACATATCATGTTTCTTTTTGGGAAGAGTTAATATTCTGAAGATGTCAGATCTTACTAAATTAATGCATAAACCTACGGTAATTTAAATCAAACTCATTGAAAGATTTTGGGAATTAAAAAAAAATGAGCCTATATATATAAAAAGAGGCAAAAATAGCCAGTAAGACTCGGAGAAAAGTTAAGAATGTGAGAAAATTTGTCTCACTAGAATAGTTAAAACAGTGTGGCATTAGCCCAAGAATACACAGAACAAAAATCATAAAAGTGTGAATTATTCAATAAATAGTACTGGAGCAATTAACACTGTGGAAAATACTTGCAGAAAGATTATAAAAATGTTCAACTTCACTGGTAATCAAAAATACAAGTTAAAATAACAATTGCTGTTTTATCCTATTTTATTAATTGACAATAATCAATGTTGGCAAGGGTAAAGAAAAATCAAAGAGGGGAAACAAGTCTTATCATACACTGCTGATGGGAATGCAGATCTTGGGTGGGCAATTTGAAATTACTTTTAAAAACTCTTAAAAATTGACTTTTTGGCCAGGTACAGTGGCTCATGCCTGTAATCTCAGAACTTTGGGAGGTTGAGGCGGGAGTATTGCTTGAGGCCAGGAGTTTGAGACTAGCCTGGGCAACATAGTAAGATCCCAATTTCTACAGAAAATTTTAAGAAAAATCAGCTGGTGTGGTGGTAAGCACCTATAGTCCCAGCTACTTAGAAGGCTGAGGCAGGAACATCACTTGAGCCCAGCAGTTCAAGGGTGCAGCGAGGTATGATTATGCCCCCGTACTCCAGCCTGAGCTACACAGTGAGGCCCTATCTCTAAAATATATATATATATAAATAAATAAATTTAAATATTGACTTTTTGACCAGCAATTCCACTTCTAGAAATTAAACCAAATAGAATAATCAGAGCTTTTTAATTCCTAATAGTTTATATAAAAGAATATTCAGGCCAGGGATATAATAGTGAAAAATTAGAAACAGTCTGAATATTCAAAATATATTTATTATGATGAAATACTATGTAGCTATTAAACATCATATTCTCAAATAATAGGTTAAGAATATAAGAAATTTCTCCAAAATAGTTCTTAGTGAAAAGAAGAAACCATAAAAGAAACTCTTATCCATTATAATCCTGATTACATAGAAAAAAGTGTATGTATTTAGGAAAGACAGCGAAAATATAACATAAATTCGTAACTGTGGTCTCAAGGTAAGACTGTGGCTGATTTTGACTCTTTTCTTCCTAATTTTTACATGTTTCAATTTTTCTAAAATGAGTATTATAAAATTTAAAACCTCAATCAATAACAAGATCCTTTAGCTAATAAGCAGTAGAGCTAGGATATGGACTTAAGGCATCTAGATTATATAATCTTCAATATTCTTCAAGGTTATTATCAGTAGTACAGTAAGGAAAAAATTACCATATTTCCTTTTCTTTAGTCGTGGCCAAATTATTCTGATACCCATATACCTACCTGGATTCTCCTTCATCCTCCACGTGCTCACAATGGACAGAGTTGAGAGCACTGACTCTCTTATAATCTTGAGGGGTCAGATATAAATACTTGTATCCCTGTAAAGCACAAATAGTTTTTAATTCACTATTTGCCATTGTCACCTAACCAGAAGATACAGCAAAGCATGCATAACGAAGCTTGTTGCAAAGCTAGCTTTAAACTGCCACATCACTTCTTAGAGTTAGCTATCTAACAGGATGCTAGCGTAAACAGGTCTCCTTTGAAAGATGGACGTGCCCAATTTTTGTCACCAACTATCCTTGAAAGGAGACACCTTATAGCTGCAACTCCAAATACATTCCATTCATTTCATTTTCAACAGGGTTAAAGGGTCATTTTCTGATCTTTAGTGACACCTCTATTAAAGATATCAACATGACATTAAAGAATTGTGAGTTACTATTTTTCACTCTCTTAAATCCATAGTATCATAAAAATATATGAGTAAGGGATAAATGAGAGAATCACAAATCTAGGGGATTCAATGTTAAAATCAAGAGTCTATGCAGTCCGGGCACGGTGGCTCACACCTGTAATTCTAGCACTCTGGGAGGCCGAGGCGGGAGGATCGCTTGAGCCCAGGAGTTTGAGGTTGCTGTGAGTTAGGCTGATGCCACGGCACTCTAGCCCAGGCAACAGAGCAAGACTCTCTCAAAAAAAAAGCCTATGCAGTGCTAATAGTCAGCAAACACTGAACTCATACCTTTGGCTTTCTTCAGTCCTAATTCCCATTTATATTTAAAAAAAATCATACTAACATTTCATAATTGATTTATTTGTATGTATACATATACACACTCACAAAATAGTTACATAGTACATGTGTTTAACTTAAACGAATTAGTCACTCAGCCAAAAAAATAAGGAAACAGAGGAAAACATTTTAAATACGATGAGAAATTATGCCCAACATTTAACTTGATGAATTTATGTGCCACAGTGAGCACAATGCAGAAGAGACATGAATCTGCAATTGGTCTTACATGATTTGTGATGACAACACCTTGTAGCACTGACTGTCGTTAGTATGTCAGTCAGCACACATTTCCTGAATGCTTATTATGTGCAGGGCACTGTTCCAGGCACTGGAAAAATGAAATGAACAAATCGGACAAAAATTCCTGGTCTTACGGAACTTACCTTCTAGTGGGAGAGTCAGAAAATACACAAAATAAGTAAGTAAAGTGTATAATATTAATGGGAATAACATTTAATGAAAAAAACTAAATAGCTAGGTGTGGTGGCGCATGCCTATAGTCCAGGGGTTCAAGGCCAGCCTAGGTTACATATTAAGACCCCATCTCTTAAAAAAAAATTTTTTTTTTTTTAATAAAATAGAGAAGGGAGATCTGAGAATTGAACTTTCAGAAAGAACAGCCAGGGAAGGCCTCACTGAAAAGTGTCATTTGAATAAAGACCTGAGGTGCTAAGGAAATGAGACATAAGGATTATCCGGGGGGAAAAGCGTTCCAGATAGAAGGAATAGCAAGTGCAAGTACACTGAGGCATGGGTGTGTCTAGCAAAGAGGCTGGTAGAGCCATGTGTGAAATGGTGGGGGAGGGGGAATGCAGCAAGAAACAAGGGCAGAGTGGTATTGGAAAGCCAATACATGTAAGACCTCATAGGTAACCATACCGGTAGTCTTTGGCTTTTACTTGAATGAACTGGGAAGCCATTAAAGGGTTTTAATCAGAGAAAAGTTTTGAGCTGTGATCTGATTTATATTTTAACTGGATCATTCCACTTACTGTTGAGAACAGACTTTGGGTGGGGCTGGGGGCAGGGCTGGAAGCAGGAAGGCCATTTAGGAGGCTACTGCAATATGCAGGTAAAGACTACTGGGTAGCAGTGGAAGTGGTCAGATGTGGTCAGATTCTGGAAGCATTTTGAAGGTAAACATGTAAACATGATTTACTGACAGTGGATGTGGGGTGTGCAAGAAACAGAAAAGTCAAGGATAACTCTTTTACTTAAACAAATGAAACAGAGGTCCCATTTGTTGAGACAGAGAAGACTGGGAAGAACAAATTTAAGGAGGATTAGAAGTGACATTTAGGCAGATATAAGTAAAGATGTTGGGCTTGGATATATGAACTTGATGTTCAGGAGTAAGATATAAATTTGGAAGCTTATCAGCTTATACATGGAATTTAAAGTTTTAAGACTGGATATGATCACCACGGGAAAGTTAACAGAAAAAGAGAAGAGGTCCAGGGACCAAGCTCTTGAAACACTTTTTTTCCTTCTATCCCACTTTCTATATTGGCTATCCTGCCAAACCATCAGGTGAGAGGGCATTGGGTCCCGGTGGGGTTGAGACTGGGGAGTCCAGAACTTCTTGGTACTGCTACAGCACCTATGATCCTGACATCTGTCTCCATTCACATATTTTTTAAATTTAAAAAACGGAGATAAAATTTACATAACATAAAAATCACTATTTTAAAATGTATGACTCAGTAGACTTTAGCATATTCAGATGTTATACAACCATTACCACTAATTGCAAAACACTTCCATCACCCCAGAAAGAAACCCTGCACCTGTTAGTGGTCACTCTCAATTTCCAAACACTTTTTAAATGAATTTATTGATGTATTGTATAATTTACATGCCACAAAACTCATCAATTTTAAATGTTATAATTTGATGAGTTCTGACAAATACATACACTTGTGTAACCACCACCACAATGAAAATATAGACAGTTTCCATCATCCCCTCAAATACTCTTACATTGAAAGGAGAAAAGGTTGGCCGGGTAAAGTGTCTCAACGCCTGCAATCCTACCACTCTGGGAGGCACAGGCGGGAAGATTGCTTGAGCTCAGGAGCTCAAGATCTGCCTGAGCAAGAGTGAGACCCCATCTCTACTAAAAATAGAAAAATTAGCTGGGCGTTATGGTGTGCACTTGTAGTCCGAGTTTCTCAGGAGGCTGAGGCAAGAGGATGGCTTGAGCCCAGGAGTTTGAGGTTGTAGTGAGCTATGATGATGCCACAGTACTCTACCCAAGGTGATAGAATGAGACTCTGTCTCAAAAAAAAAAAAAAAAAAAAAAGGCAGCAAACTGAGGAAGAGGAGCCAGGAATGTAGAAAGATGAAAAGGAGACTCTGGGGTACTGAAGGCCAACAGAAGAAAGTATTTCAAGGATGAGGGAGTGACCAACTGTGTCAAATACTACTGAATCATCAAATAACTAAGATGAGGACTGGGAAATCACCACAGAATTTATCAACGTAGAATCATTGGTGACCTTGACAAAAGTAGCTACAGTGTAATGGTAAGGGTACAAGCTTAAATAAAGTGGGTTCAAGAGAAAACGGAAGGAGACCATCTAGAGACAACAAGCATAAACAACTCTTTTAAGAAGTTATGCTGTAAAGGGAAGGAGAAAACGAGGTAGAGATATGACAGGAGGGATGTTTGTCTGCTAAAAGTGTAGATCCAATGGAGAGGAAAAGTGATGATGCAAGAAAGAGTGGGAAGGCCAGGGGTGGTGGCTCAGGCCTGTAATACTAGCACTTCAGAAGGCCGAGGTGGGAGGGTCACTTGAGTCCAGGAGTTCAAGACCAGCCTGAGTAAAAGTGAGATCCTGTTTCTATAAAAAAATATAAAAATTAGCTGGGCATGGTGGCATGAGCCTGTAGTCCCAGTTACTCATGAGGCTGAGGCAGGAGGATCCCTTGAGCCCAGGAGTTTGAGGTTGCAGTGAGCTATGATGACACCACTGCACTGTAGCCCGGGCGACAGAGTGAGACCCTGTCTCAGGACAAAAAAAAAAAAAAAAAAAAAGGAAGAAAAGAAAGAAAGAGCGGGAAGAAGCTGGCAAGAAGGGAGAAGATTAAGTGCAGGGATAAGCCTTAGACAAGGAACTGTTCATCCAAAGTATAGGAAAAAAGGTGGAAAGTAAAGGCACAGATGAAGATACGAGGGAGTTGTGGAAACTCACTATTTCTGATTTCTTGGTGAAATGGAAAGCAAGGTCTGATATGAGCTAAAAGTGAGGACTGGGGAAGAGGGTCTTAGGGGTTTGGGGAGAGAGATGTAAAATCATCAACCAGATTGTTGGTAAACTTGAATTTAAAGTAAAATCACTCAACAGAACTGTGCTTTTCTCCAACAATGTTCAGCTGTGCAGGTGTAGGCATGGGAGTAGATAGAGCTGGATTTGAACAAGGTTTTTGTAAGGCAGAGTAAGCAGAATGAAAAGAAAAGCAAAAAAGTTGAAGGTGAAGGAAAGGTAATGATTACAATGTGATTATAATGACTAACCTATGATTGACCTTGGGATTTAAGCTACCTAGGAATAAAACGAGGGTATAAGGAAGGAGAGAAGAACAGAAGAGAGGTGGCAGGATCAATAGTTGTAGGTCCTGGAAAGTTCAAAGGATTGTTAGACTTGAAGCAGTAAATAGAGGGAGCTGGAAAGACAGGATGGAGGGGGTGGCAAAGGAAGTGATGCTTGAAATTGGGATTATGGGGAATGAGAGGCTGAGCTACTGCAGAGCATAGGACCATTGGAAGCGGAAGGCAAGGATCCAAGAGGTCAGATTATGGGAAAGATCATCTGTGTGGATATAGCAACCAGAAAGAATTATCACACGACTAGTAGCACTGGAGAGAGTGGCAATGTGCCAGGAACCAAAAGATGCAAAGAATGAGAAGGAGGGACCAAAGGGTTGGGAAACATTACAACAAGGAGAAGTGATGGTATGGCACAGTCTGATGACATGACATTCAAAGATGGGATTTTTTTCAGGGAGAAGGGAGGGGAAAGGGCCTGGAAGTAACAATGGAGATTGAGGAAGACTGTATTCCCCACCTAGGCTCAGCAGTACAAAAGACAGAAATCAGGTGGTACTTAAGAGGGCTATAGGGGAAGCAATGTCTTTAGGGGAGAGACAGGTTTCAAGTGGAGCAAGCAGGTTGGAGCAGAAGCTGAGGATGTAAGGGATTTTGGTGATCACTGTCCGATAAGTCCTGGAAGCCACAGTGGAATCATTTAAAGATACATATTTTTGGTTTAGCATGTCTTATGCTAAATGCACACATATTATTTTATCTAGTGTTCAACTAAAGAAATAGCGATCTGTTTTAAAGCTGGAAGAAAAACCAGGTGAACACACTGAGAAATAATTTGTCTCTAATACTGTGTCTTAAGGAATTTTCATAAGTAATTTTGTTTATATTTAATTTTTGCCATAAGTGGCAACTTTTGAACTTAAGCCTCTACCTCTTCCCCACTCTCTACACCTATACACACACATGCACATAACCATATAGCATCTTGAAGTATTATCTTTTCCTTCGTCTGTACCTTGTAAGGATCCTCAGGATCTACCCAGGCCACATGAAACATATGACGAATTTCTTCTGCCAGTCCAATTCTTGCTCCACTGTTGGCTGCTACATAAATGCGTGGAATACCCTCTGCCCTGGCAAGTTCCGAAGCTCTGAGAAACAACAAATCCTCTTGAGGCCCAAAGGACCCAATTCGGTATGTGATGTCATTGCCAATAACAATGATATCTCGGCCTTCTGGATATTCAGGACTTTTCAGGGTCATTTTCCAAGCTACCATGCCAATCTGCAAAGGCATAAACAAACAAATGAATACAAGTTTCTTCCCTGCAGACTTTTTTTCAGGTTCCTTGAGGGTATCAAAGCATACGTACACACAGCCTTGATGTAAAGATATACATTGCTAAAGGGCCAAAGTCCCTACGGGGAAACTAAAACAAACATTCTAGTACACTGCTCTAGATTATGCTGAGGACAGCTGGTTTACTACAGATCTCAAAGCTTTCTCAATTCCTTCTTTAGGCCTGCTCAAAGAAGATAGAAAAACCAGAGTCTAAATGCACTCAAGATACCTGTAGAAGAATGCCATGGCAATGGTGATTAAATCCAGAATTCTCATTTTACTATCCTATATACTAACATTATTTCCATCTTCTGTTAAGATTTGTTCCAAGAAATCTTCAACACATAAAGGAACAGGGTGAGGATTACTTCTCATGGACTATACACTTTTCGTTATCCAGGGTCCTTTTACTGTCCTCTAGCATTTGATAGGAATAATAGAAACATTCTTTACCGGCTTGCTTCAGGTATCTTACATTTCTGCAAGAAATTGCTATTGTTCAACACTGTATCCTTGTGACCAACTCTTGCTGTTTTCTTCCAGCATCAGAAAACCAAAGGATGCAAAGAACTAATCTCTTGCTGTACTATGATATATGTAAATCTCTGATCAACAGCATCTGACCAGTCACACAAATGATATTGACTTAAAAGGCAGAGTGACATGTCTCTTCCCAAACCCTCACGGCCCTGTCCTGTTTTAATCCCCTTCTATGTGAAAACTAGTCAATCCTTCTACTTGTTTATTTGCAAGTTCCATTTCTTTTCTATTCACTCATACACTCGTTACAGCTGCAGTTTTTCATGTATGCCTGTCTGTTTCCCCCATATCTGGATAAGTAATGTTTTCCATTCTTTTTTTTTTCCACCTTTTTTTCTGTTTCTTGTCCCTTCCCCGTCCCCACCACTTGCCCCCAAACACAAAGCCTACCAGATGAACATTCCTGGTCCTGCCTAATGGACCCAGCCACATCTGCAGCCTTGCTCCCTCATCCCTAGGCTGCTGCATATCACCTCATTGGGGAGCTGGCCATCAAGAAGGGTCATTAACAGATGTAAATAGCAGCATCCCTGGAAAGCCACATGCATCACCCAGACTCAACCGGGCCAGTGATCATAAGCTCTGAGTACACATTCCTCAATCCAATTGCACATCCACTGTAATCAGGCTGGTCGAAGCTTTCCAAACAGCTATTTGTGATTCTCAGCACTAAGAAATATATATATGAAATACCCACAGATAAATATAAGCTATTTAATATATCACACCATTGACCAAATACAAATAAAAATGGATATAATACATGGGAAAAAATACAATCACCTTCTGAGATAAAGTATTACTCTATCTGCTCATTAAAGACAGAGAAAGGAAGGAAAAGTATATCATCCAAAAAATAGCACAGAGAAAATCCCCACATCAGGATAATTTTGGTTGTGGTTTTTAGGAAGCTAGTTAATATAATGCCTATATGTGGAGAAATTTTAACTGCCTTCTTATGTTCCCCTCTAGCCTCAAATCTCTTTTGTTTTTCAGGAAAGAAAAGCTAATTTCTGTCTACTTTCCTCTAAATGCATTTGTTGTTAGGAAGATTGGGTTTTACACCAAATTTTACAACATATTAACCTTAGCCACCTAGGCCAAAAGCAGCTTAGATACAAACCCTGAAAAATCTACTTCAGCATTTGTGTACAACAAATGTAAACATTGTGACAATATGGCACTGGGCAGGCAAATAATACTCTTAACTTTCATTACTACCTGGGGACTGTAACTGTGTTACTTGGGCAGTCAGTTCAGCAATTGGTCAGGTCATTATGCTTGCAATATTGACTTCTAATTAGGTGTCGACAATGTAGCACCAAGAACACACTACTCTTTATCAATATCTTTCCAAAGTGTGTTTCTCATCGACTGTCCCCCTCCCACCTTAAAAAGTACTAATATGGAATGGAGAGTGTTATATCAGTCTTAGTACAGCAAGATTCCTTATTCAAAGATATTCTGTTCTGAGTTAGCACAATGGATAAACATCTAAGAAAGCATCTGATGCTCAATTTACAGTAAAATTTAGATTTCATTGCTAGTCAAAGGATAGGGCATATAATGGTGAACATGGCCTGGAGTCCAATAAACTCAAATCTAAATCCAGGCTTATTAACTTATTAATTTGTGATCTTGAAATTATATAACTTTATTGAGCTTCCATGTCCCCACATACAAAATTAAGAAAATAATATCCATATGTTTGAGGAACAAACTGTTGGAAGCAGAGATTATATTAATTTCAACATAAAAACTTGTCCAAATCTTATCCATTCCAAAAGATTCATTCAAATTCCATTTCTTCAGTAAAGCTTCCTCTAGACTAAAGTGGCCCCTCTCTTTTCTGGTCACCTACTAAGACCTAGGGTAGAGCATTCCTTTGAAAATTAATCACATACTGCCTGGGACTGCTTTTAGCTTACCATCTCGAACCATTACATCATCTTCTCTAGTGCCTTGTAGGATCCCTACACATAATATGGGAGTAATAAATACTTGCTAGTTCTCGTCATTTTTAAAAATAATAGTTGGAAAAAAAGTCAACAACAAGGGCTTAGAACACTGACCGTAACTTATATTTAGGGATCATAGAATAAGAGTCCTAAATATCATTAAACTATTTTATTTGTAAAAATAACAATAATAGCTACGATTAACTGAACATTTATTACATGCTATACTGTACTAAATAAAAGTTGACAATACTAATAGTGCTCAAGAGCTTAAGCTGGGGAGTCAAATTATCTTGGTTCAAATCTCAGTTTTATACTAGCTGTGTAACTTTGAACACATAACCTCTTATAGCCTCACTTTTTCCTTTTATAAAATGGGGACAATAGCACCTTTCTGGAGTGACTATTTTAAGGAACACCATGTTAAACTAATACAGAGCTTGGCATATAAAAGCCCTCAAATAGCTACTATTATTATTAACTCAGAGGAAGCTATTATTATTGTTGCCATGAGGAAACTGAGGCACAAAAGAATTAAGTAACTTATTCTTACAGTTAATGTGAATTGTTTGTTTTCTAAAATAAGGTTTACACAAAAATAAATTGTATTTCCCTTACTAGAGAAATTCAGGAAGTATGTTCCAGATTAGTTTCACTGCCATTAGCTGAATAACATCCATTGTAGCACAAACATAAATGTCATTGACCCCTAAATGCTATGTAGTATCCTGGATTGGATCTTGGAACAGAAAAAGGACATTAGTAGAAAAACTGGTGAAATCTAAAAAAAGTCTATAATTGTACCAATGTTGGTATCTTAAGTTTTCATAATTATACCATGGTTATATAAGATGTTAACATTAGGAAAAGCTGGGTGAAGGGTATACGGAAACTCTCTATATTATCTTTGTATCTTTTCTGAAAATCTAAAATTATTTTAAAATAAAAAGTTAAAAAATATGATAGAAACGTTTTTGGAAGAAAATAAATTGGATAGTAAGGTCATTGCTAGTGTTCTGTGCAATCTTATAAAATAATGGCTATGAAGACTATGAATAGCATTTTAAAGTACCCATAATGTAATACTAAATTAGAACAAGTAGGATACAAAACTGCATGCATGCCATAGTAATTGTGAGAAGCAAATCAGGGTAGCAATTAAGGCCACAGACTCAGTCAGATTCTGAGACTCTGAATCTGAATCTAAGAGAATCTGACAGAACCGAGACTCAGTCAGTTTTCTAGACATGTAACCTTAGGTAAACCACAGCAAACTTTCTGTGCCTCAGTTTCTTCACTAGTGAAATGGGAGTAGTAACAACCTACTGCATGAGTTTGTTGTGAGGACTAAATACACATTAAGCCCTAGAATGGTACCTGACACATATTAAGTGCATAGTATGTATTATATTCCAACTCTATCAATCTAAAAGCATGTTGGGGTCAGGTGCTCACGCCTATAATCCTAGCACTCCAGGAGGCTGAGGCAGGAGGATTGCTTGAGGTCAGGAGTATGCGACCAACCTAAACAAGACAAGACTCTGTCTCTACAAAAAAATAGAAAAATTAGCCAGGTGTAGTGGCATGTGCCTGTTGTCCCAGCTACTTGGGAGGCTGAGGCAGGAGGATCATTTCAGCCCAGGAGTCTGAGGTTGCAATGAGCTGTGATGATACCACTGCACTCTAGCCAGGGCAACAGAATGAGACTTTATCTTTATATATATCTCTGTCCCCAAAATACATTTTTTTAAAACCCCAAAATAAAGAAGAAACATAGCAAAATGAGATGATAATTACTAGGAGGATAAGACGGTGTGTTTTTTCCATTTTCCAAATTTTCTTTAACATGTTTGTATTGTACTGATAATTTTAAATTTTTATAAATTAAAAAATAACTGAGAGAAGACGACTACCAAATACCTCTGCGCTGGGTAACAGGTAAATGGAAGTTTATATTATTTATCCCCACTTTTGTGTATGTTTGAGCATTTCCATAATAAAAAAAAATTTTTAAAGGGGGAAAATCTTACCAGCCTAATGGATTTCTCACATTTTAGGGGAACTGATTCTAGATTTTAGTCATACAACAACAGTTCTTATTTATGTAAAATTAGAGAGATAAAAACACATGAAAATTAAAAACCAAGACTCACCTTAAAGGAATAAGAATATCAAGAACTATCTTAGTTTGTTGGGACTATCATTTCATTTCTTTAAAAAAATGTCTGCAATGATGTGGTAGAATGTAAACATATGCATATATAGGTTTATACAATATTAATATCGCTACCTGAGAAGTAACTGCTTCAGTGTTTTTCTGGTCTGATGGTTAAATACATATTTATACTTTTAAAGTCAATATTTGTACAATAGACAAGAACAGTGCCTATCAGCTAAATACATATTTAGAACTGTACCACATGTATTACAAACATGTACTAAAAT